CCTCCCTGGTGATGCAGCGGGTTAAAGCACAGCACTAAGAATTGAAGGCCACTTCCACGTAAGTTCGATCCCCGCCTGTCCCGGAGGTGACCACATGGCGTGGCAGCCCTCTAAAGATTTATTTATTTATGCATACAGAACTGGGGTACAGGCCAGAGGTGCAGGGGTGGAGAGAGGATTCACCAGAGACAGAGTGGGGAGAAGAACAGGCAGATTGATGAACTACACTGCTGAGGGGAGCAAGCAGGTGGGACAGGAAAGGTCTGCTGTGCCATGTGGGTCACCTCCCTGGCCAGGGATTGAACTGGCACTGAAGCAGCTGCAGCTAGCTTCACAGTGCTGTGCTTTAACCCACTGGGCCACCAGGAAGGGCCCTATTTAGGTTTTCTTTCAGTAATGTTTTGTAATTTCCTTTTTAAAGATTTATTTACTTATGTATATAAGAGCAGGGGGGGAGTAGGCCAGACATGGGGGTGGTGAGAAGATTCACCAGAGACAGAGTGAGGGGCAGAAAAGGTGGATAGATGACATATACTGCTGAGGGGAGTAGAGGACAAGACAGGAGAGGTCTGCCGTGCCCTGTGGGTCACCTCCCTGGTTGGGGATTGTGTAACAGTGGCTGTAGATAGCATCGTAGTGCTGAGACTTAGCCCCTTGCACCACGAGGGAGGCCCTCAATAATGTTTTGTAATCTTCAAAGTTTGTTATTTATTTTATTACATTTATTCTTTGTTAGTATTTATTCATTTATTTAAATTTTTACATGGAAGAACTGGGATGTAGGCCAGAAGTGAGGGGGTTAAGAGGATTTACCAGAGATAAAGCAGGGTGAAGAACAGGCAGATCCACTGAAATATGCTGCCAAGGATAGCAGCAGGTGAGTTTGTGGGAGATGTGAGTTAGCTCCCTTGGGGCGATGGAACTCAGGCTGTCACAGTGATAGTGCTGAGACTCAACCCCTAGGCCACCAGGAGGCCTCTGTTACATTTATTCTTAAGTATTTTATATTCTTTAATACTCTTATGCATAACTTTTTCTCTTAATTTCATTTTGGACTATTCAGCAGAAATGTATAGAAATACAGTTATTTTTTATTGATCTTGTGTCCTACAAACTTGCTGACTTTTCTTAGGTCTGGTCCTTTAGATGATTCCCTTTCTATATACAAGATCATGTCATCTGTGATTAGCAATAATTTTATCTCTACCTTCTAAGGCTGGGTGCCTTTTAAATGCTGGTCTAATTTCCCTAGCTAGACCCTCCAGTCCAATGGTAAGTAGAAGTGGCAAGAGTGGGCATTATTTTCTGGGGCAAATATTCAGTCTTTCACCGTTTAGCATGACTATTATTTTCATAGCTGCCCTTCCTCAGCTTGCAGATAGTTGCCCACAACCGAATTTACTGTGTTTAAGGAGAGAAAATTATAGCAAGGCACTATGAGAGATAAGAAGAGGTCTAAAGAAAGAGCCAAATAAAAATCCTAGAGCTGAAGAAAAAAAAATAGAATAACCAAATTTAAAACTCAATAGATGGGCTTAAAAGAAAAATTTCTTAAAAGCTAAAGATGAAATTAATGAATTAAAAAATGTCTGCAGAAACTTTTAGAACAAACCATGAAAGGTCAAAAGATAGAAAAATACAGAAGAAAGGAACATAGTAAGGACCCTCCCTGGTGGTGCATCAGGTTAAAGCACAGCACTATGAAGCTGTCTGCAGCTACTTGCAGCGTGAGTTTGACTTCCACCCAGGGAGCTGGCCCACATGGTGTGGCAGACCTTTGCTGTCTCGCCTTCTGCTCCCCTCAGCAGTGTATTTCAGTCAGTCTTCCGGTTCCGCTCCCTGCTCTGTCTCTGGTAAGTCCTCTCACCCCTTGCACATCTGGCTTGTTCCCCTGCTCTTGTATGCATAAATAAATAAATTCTTTTTGTTTAAAAAGAAAGGATTATAGTAAGATGGTCTAATGTTTCAATTAAAGGCTCAAAAGGAAAGGAAAGAAGACACAGAAACAGTATTTGAAAGGATTATGAAAACGCCACAGAGGCAGCTTCATGGCAGGTGGAACAGAGCTTGGGTGGGCCAAGTTCAAACACAAGCTCTACCCTTTTCACCTGGAGAACGTTGCCACCCTTCAGTTTTCACAACTAATAAATGGGATTAGTAAAACTTTCTACCCCCACATTGTTGTTGTGAGAATCAACTGGCACAATACTTGTGAGCAAAACTGGTGAATGCTAGGTACTTAAAAAGTGAGATATTCAGTCAGGCCCATGGAGGATGTCTACCAGAAGGAGAAAGCCAAGGGCATTAAAGAAATTCAAGCTGTCCATGTGTCTCACCACAACTGGCACTGATGCTCACCTCTTAGATGCTGGGCAAAAGGACCAATGAAGCTGCAAAACAGGATGTTGGAGAGAAAAAAAGAAAAAGGCAACCTGGAAAAAGAGAAGAGACATGGTTTGAATAGTATCACAGATGTTCCCAGAGTGACTAGTAGTGACCTCAAGGATTGGCTACATAGTTTACAGGTTCTGGTACAAGAAGAAAAGTTGGGGCCCCTGGTAGAAAATTATTACTAATTTCAAGATGGCCTCAGCAGAGCATTAAACCAAACAGGGTCCCTCTCAGTGTAGGGGCCTGTGTGTGCAGATTGCATGCCCACGAAGCCAGCCTGGGTCATAGGTCTTGAGTCTGTTCTGTGCATTAGAAAAAGCAGCCATCTCACACCCAGTCATGGCCCATATAATTTTCGAATTCTGAATGGCAGCAATATTTAGGGAAAGTGTAAGCACATGTGTTTCCAAATTCTGAGGAGGGCAAGTGTATTGACCTGAGTGGTTTTGTGAGAGTGGGTGGGACCAGCCAGGCTGCCTTCAAAACTGTGGAACTAACTGTTCCCCAGACTCTGGCCTAGAAAAAAAAGCCTGCAGCTGTATCTACAGGGCCTGTTGTTTGCTGTGGTGTGTTACAACACAGCCTGGCAGCCTCCCGGGCTTTTCTGTCTTCCTCCTGGAAGAATCTGGTCCCAGAGCATGTGACATGCCCACACAGCCCTGCAGATTTGCCCACACTGCTCCTTGATGTTCCTTCAAAATTCCTAGACTTTCCCAGGTCTGTATGCTTTTTGCTCTTGCTATCTTCCTCCTGCTCAAGAATCTCTTCCTTCCTCTTCCACATTCTTCCATCTGGCAAACACCAATTTTTCAGAATTCATCTTTTAAGATTCAGCTCTAGTGTCACCTCTTCAATGAAGCCTTCCTACCTCTCACCAGAAGAACCAAGTCCTTCCTCTTTGAAGGCCTCCACTGTGTCCTACTGCAGACATCTGTCACAGTGTCTGTAACCTGCGGTACACTGACATGCAATGTGGAAGGTCCTGTCCCCTAGACTCAAGTCCTCAGAGCTGGAATAGTATCGCCTCACCTCTGTATATGCTACACATACTGTGGTATTTGACAGTTACTGATATAAAGCATAGTAGATGCTTAATCAACTGGGCAGTAGCATGCAGAGTTAACCACCATGTCTTGTTGAATTAACAAATAAATAAATAGTTTTAGTGACTTACTCTGGCAGCTGGTTCAAGGAAAAAAAAAAAAAAGCCCCTACCCTTGAGACAGGTTTAGTGTTGACTCTAGCTGTCTTTTTTGCGGGCACCTCTTCTTGAAGGCAGGTAATAGCACCAGCACACAGCATGGGCATTGACAGATGAGGATCTCCTTAAGTACCTGAATGACCAACATGGATGGCATAGTGCAGAGAGCAGACTGGGAGCTAGGCCATCTGGCTTCTCAACCTGGCCATGAGACCTTAGTTTTCTAAGGTAAGTAAGGTTTTCTAAGATAGGTAACTGAAGTCTCATATTTAGCTAACTAGCTATGATAATTTAGTTTTATTTCTTCAGAAACAGAAGAGGGGGGATTGAGGGACTGAGCTACCCATTCACTTAGGCCCACTGTGGAATTCCTGAATCTCTGTGGGGTGACTCAAACGTGGCCATTTATTTGGAGTGGCCTGGAGCCTTCTTGAAGCTGAGTTTGCTCAGCACAACTACCTTTTGGGGGTGGAGATGGTGGCAGAGAACATTTTTATTTTATTTTTTTTTTGAAGATTTATTTCTCAATGCATACAAGAACGGGGATACAGGCCAGACACGCAGGGGGTGAGATGGTTCACCAGAGACAGAGTGGGGAGCTGAACAGGCCAACTGACGAAGTGCACTGCTGCGGAGAGCAGCGGACAAGACAGGAGAGGTCTGCCACGCCATGTGGGTGAGCTCCCTGGCGGGCTTGGGATCCAACTGGTGCTTCAATGGCTGCAGCAAGCTTCAGTGTGCTGTGCTTATTGTGCCACCAGGGAGGCTCAAGATCTGACATTTTTAATGGCCCCTTTCTACCTCACTCCGCTGGGATTTTATGTTTGAATGACAGAAAGGCATGAGAAAGCAAGGTCAGCATAGTCACTGGGTGTCCAGAGTATTGGCCCTCACGGTGGGATTCTCCCCAGTCCAGACTGGGCATCTTTGACTTCTAGGGATTGTTTCCTGGGGCTAACCTCGCCTTCATACTGGACACAAAGAGTTTAGTCTGCTGCTCTCCACCCTTGGGGCAGGGCAGAACTTTCAAAGAGACGATTCAGCGTGAAACACACTAGTTTGTTCAGAGATTAGTTTCTATACAGGTAAGAGATGGCGCGAGGGAGTGGGGGTCAGCTTCCTCCATCCCTTCTCCCCGGCCCCCACAAAGGGCAAGGGCTAGACACGTGGGCTGGTGTAAAGAGGCGGAGGTTACGCTAAGGCGGAGGTGCAAAAGAACGGGGGCGTGGTCTCATTTGCATAGACGGCGCGCGGCCACCAATCCGGACAGACAGAGCTATAGCCCGCGCGCCTTTTGGGGGCGGACTGACAGCCTCGGGGCCCTATGGAAGGCGGGTCCTGCGACCGAAGGGGGCGGGACGGCGCCGGGCGCTGCCCGGGGGATTCGGGCCGGTTCGCTGGCGCTGCCAGTCTCGGGCGGCGGCGTCCGGCGCGCGGGCGGCCTGCTGGGCGGGCTGAGGGGCTAGCGGTGCGCGGGTGAGCTGAGGGACGGAGCCGACGAGCTACCGCGGCGACAGGTACTGGCGCTTTGATCGCAGGGATGGGGCGGGCGGTCGCAGCGCCCCGGGAGCCGAATTCCCTCCTTCCTTGTCCGACCGCCTCCCCGCCCCCTCACGCGGGTCCCCGGCCCGGGC